ATAGACCACTCAGCTACTCAAGCCTGCTCCACTATTCAATTAAATCATGGATACGATTGCTCCTTATTCCTATCTACCCTCAATAACCATTCATACCCTTGCTTATCAAGGATCTACTTAGTTAAATCACTTAATGAGAAGGATGAACAGCCCATGGTTAACAAAGGGAGTCAAAGAGAAAATTCAATCAAAAACTTTTAAGGTGGCTAAAAAACTACTGGTAGGTCATGGAATAATGATTTATTTTTCAGAACCAGCATCAGATGGCTAAAACCTAATAAAAAATGAGAAAACTGATTATGAAAGCAAATTGGCAATAAATATAAAAACAAACTGCAAGAATTTCTACAGGTACGTAAAAAGGAAAAGAGTAGCTAAAGTGAGTGGACCACTGGAGGATGCAATTGGGAAATTGATAATGGGAAATATGGAAATAGCAGGTAACTAAACCAATATTTTGCATTAGTTTTCATGTTGGAAGACATCCAAAAGGAATCAGGTTAGTAAGGTCCTAATGGGAGAAAAGATGTTCTAAAAATCTCTATTACCATGGACAAAATAGTTGACAAACTAATGGGACTGTAGGCAGACAAGTCACCAGGGCCTGATGGCCTACATCCAAGGGATTTGAAGGATTTGGCTGGAGAGATAGTGGAGGTACAGGTCGAAATATTCCCAAATTCACCATATTTCAGGAGGGTTCCAGTAGATTGAAAAACTGCTAATATGATGCCTCTGTTCAAGAAGGGAGACAGAAAATAAGAAACTATAGGCCATTTAGCCTAACATCTGATGTCACAAAAATGTTAGAGTCTATTATTAAGGAAGAAGTAGCAGGGTACTTAGAAAATTTTAATCTAATCACAAAGAGTCAGCATGGTCTTGTGAAAATCACCTTGATAAATTTTCTAGAGTTCTTTGAGGATATAACAATCAGAGTTAATAAAGGGAAATTGGTAGATGTAGTGTATTTGAACTTCCAGAAGGCTTCTGATAATGTCCCACATAAAAGTTTATGCACAAGATAGGAGCTCACGTATTAGGGGTAATACATTAATGAACTGAAGACTGATTAACACACAGAAGACAGACAGTTGGATTAATGCGTCATTTTCAGGTTGAAAAGATGCAACTGGTGGAGTACCACTGAGGCCTTACTTATTTACTATCTGTAGTAATGACTTTAGAGAGGAAGTACAGTGTGAGGTATCCAAATTTGCTGATGATTTAAAAATAGTTGGGAGGGCATACTGTGATGAGGACATACGGAACTTGCAAGGGAATATAGATAGGTTGAGCGAGTGGGTAAAAACCTGGCAGATGAAGTTTAATGTAGGAAAGTAAAAGGAAGAATGAAAAGGCAGACTATTATTTACATGGAGAAAGACTGCAAAATCATGCAGAATGTGGACAGGCTTTGGACAGTCAATAACTGAGTTATTCATTGTAGAATTTTCAGTCGCTGGTCTGTTCTTGCTCCCAAGTACTTATACGGATTCCCAATTTAAACTCAGGTCAATAGTAATTCCAGAATGTTCATGGTAGGTGATTGATCAATGATGGTAATGTTGAGTGTCATAGGTAAAGGGTTACATTCGCACATGACAAGTTGGTCATTGCCTGACACTCATGTGGTGTGAATATTTCTTGCACAAACCTGAATGTTGTTCAGGTCTTACTGCTATAGACACAGACTGTTTCTACAACTGAAGGACAGTTGTAGAATAGTTTGAATACAATAGTTGTAGAATAGTGATAGTTGAAGAATAGTTTTGAACACTGTGCAATTATCATCGTCATCATTGGTGGTTCCTCACAGACAAGGATGACTCTCTTCCACTCTCAAGGTGAGTCCATAGGTGGTATACAGACCAATTCAGCTTCTACAGGCTCTGTTACACTTCGGGGAGAAGGTGGTCACGGGAAGGGAGGGGGGAGAGGATGTGGGAGTGCGCTTCTTTTGCTGTTTTTGCCTGGCTTCCGCTTTTTCCCAACAGCAAATCTCAAGGTGCTCAGCACCTTCCCAGATGTTCCTCCTCCATTTTGGATGGTGTTGGGCCAGTGATTCCCAGGTGTCAGTGGGAATGCCACAATTTGCCAGTGAGGCCTTGACGGCATCAATGAAGCACTTCCTCTGTCCACCTGGGGCTCACCTGCTGTTTCGAAGCTGGGAGCACAGCACCTGCCTGCGGAGTCTTGTGTTGGTCATGTGGATGACATGTCCGGTCCATCACAGCCAGTCAAGGGTGGTTAGTGCCATGATGCTGGGGACGTTGAACCAGTCGAGGACACCAGGGTTGGTGCATCTGTCTTTCCAGCATATTCGCGGGATCTTGCAGAGGCAGTGCTAGTGGTACTGCTCCAGTGCTTTGAAGTGTCTGCTGTAGACAGTCCACATCTCAGAGTCATACAGGAGGGTGGGAACAACCACAGCTCTGTAAATTATGATCTCGGTGTTGGATCTGATGTTGTTGGCCTTGAACACCCTTTTCCTCAGGCAGTGCTGGATCTCTTAACTGAGAGCTGCTTTGGTCCACAGGACACTCCCAAGATATTGGAAGTGGTCAACATTGTCTAATGCCTCCCCATGGACCTTGTTGATCAGGGGTACGTTCCACAATGCCAGGCCAGGTTGCATCTTATGGATGCTCATGGTGAGACCTATGCTCTCATAAGCCCCTGCAAAGGTGCTGACGATGGTCTGGAGTACAGCCTCTGAGACTGCACATTTTCTTTATTCATTCACAGGATGAGGGCATCACTGGCTAGGCAGCATTTATTGTCCATCCCTAATTGCCCAGTGGGCAGTTAAGAATCAACCACATTGTAGTGGATCTGGAGTCACATGTAGTCCAGACCAGGTAAGGATGGCAGTTTCCTTCCCTGAAGGACATTAGTGAACCAGACGGGTTTTTCTGACAATCAACAATGGATTCATGGTCATCATTAGATTCTTAATTCCAAATATTTTATCGAATTCAAATGCCACCATCTGCCATGGCAGGATTCAAACCCAGGTACTCAGAACATTATCTGGGTCTCTGGATTAACAGTCCAGCGATAATACCACTAAGCCATCACCTCCCCTATGTAAGCATCATCTGCCTACTCCAGCCTGATGACTATTATTGTGCAATCATCAGCCTACTAAATGCATGAACTCTTCATAAACCACCTTATCTAAAAACCTAATCAATATCCATTAAAAGGTACTATGGCCTTTTCTAGAGGCTACTATACATATAGAATATGCAATGTATGAGAAATATTACCAGCAATGAACCAAGTAGCAGTGCTAAAAAACTGAAGAATTCCTTCAAGCAGAAAAATACACATTGATAAAAGAACATAATATTTAACACTGTATTCTGAATATGAGAAATTCAGTCACAATTATGAGCCAATTATCTAGCTTTACAGTTTAAATAGATTATTTAATGCATTATTTAAGTTACATGCTTTAAATCATTCCAGGGTGTAGGCATATAAAAGGAAAATATTGCAGATGCTCGAAATCTGAAATAAAAACAAAGTGCTGTAGAAATTCAACAGGCCTGGCAACATTTATGGAAAGAGAAAGAGAGTCGATGTTTGGAGTCTGAGATGACTCTTCTTTTGAAGTAGCGTCATATTGGACTTGAAACATGAACTCAGTTTCTCTCTGCACAGATTCTGGCAGACCTGCTGAGTTTCTCAATCACTTTCTGTTTTTAACTCAGAGTTATATGATATGCATTGGGATATGTGGGAATAAATTACAGGCTATAATTTGCAAGAAAGCGTTCAGTTGCTCACAAACTCCCTTCCAGTCTCGAGCTGAATCCAGGGTGGTCTCCCAGCCTCAACAACCCTCGAGGTGAAGCCTGGCACGGTCTGGAGTCACAGCCTGGTGCTGACTGGAGGCTAGGTGCCAGCGTGGACTGGGTTGGAAGGACTGTTGTTCTATTTTGTCATTTATTCCTACAATCTCCTACAATGTTGGACATTTTATTTCTTTATTTTGAACAAAAGAAAAGTACGGCACTGGAACAGGCCCTTCGGCCCTCCAAGCCTGTGCTGATCATTATGCCCTGACTAAACTAAAAAACAAACCTTTTGCCCATATTTGTTCCGTATCCCTCTATTCCCTCCCTATTCGTGTAACCATCTAGATGCCTGTTAAATGTTGCCAACGTGCCTGCTTCCACCACCTCTGCTGGCAGTGCGTTCCAGGCTCCTATCACTCTCTGCATGAAAAACTTTCCTCGCATATCTCCCTTAAACTTTTGCCCTCTCACCTTGAACCTGTGTCCCCTTGTAATTGAAACTTCAACTCTGGAAAAAAGCATCAGAGTATCCACCCTAACTATGCCTCTCATAATTTTGTAGACCTCTATCAGGTCTCCTCTCAGCCCGCCATCTTTCCAGTGAAAATAATCCTGGTCTTTTTAACCCTTCCTCATAGTCAATGCCCTCGAGACCAGGCAACATCCTGGTGAACCTTCTTCGTACTCTCTCCAAAGCTTCCACGTCCTTCTGGTAATGTGGCGATCAAAACTATACACAATACTCCAAATTTTCTAATTCTTTTTTCCTAAGAACTTGTACTAAAAAGAATGTATACCTGGTTACCTTTGTACCTAAGATGGCGCCAAAAGTGATGACTTGTAAACTTTTCACTGTACTCATCTGAGTACGTGACAATAAAGCAATTCAATTCAATTCAGTATAAACCACCTAAGTTTTGCCCATTTGACTAGATTCCTCATGACTCATTATGATCTAGCCATCTGTATTCTTCCTGTAATCCACCTGAATCCCATCAATTCAATCTTTGTCAATAAAACTTCCTAGCATTTTGCACACAAACAATACATTTAATATGCAGGCACTATGTTGAACATTCCCACACACCCAGTTTAAATAGGTAAGTTGAAATTGCAAAGTTGCAATAAATAGGAGGGGAGGAGCAGAGCATTTGGATTATGCTATATATAAAGAAAGTCTGCAATTGCACTCACCTGAGCGCACCTCCTGTGACCTTCACACCAAGTTAAAATCTCATAAATCTGCAAAATAAGGTTAATTTATTAATTTGCTAATAACTTATTGTGCAAAAGTAATACATTCAGACAAATGAATTGCAGTTATGTTTGTATATGCTTCCTACTCAGTCATTCTAATTGTTTGTCATTTATGGTAAGAACGTTGTAATTCTAAGACCAAAAACGGTATTGCTTCGTGCTAATAGGCCATTTGAAAAATAATCAAATGATCTTGTTGACAGAACCAAGGCAAATTATTAAGGGAAAATCATTTACATACATGTTTCCAAAATATTTTACACTGATTCAAAGCCAGTTTATCTGAACTAGACTCCGGCCATAAAACTAGCCACACGCCAAGTTGACACTGGGTGATTTTGACAATTACAAGGATTTGGGAAGGCTCTTCAAACTTCACCAACTTCCTTAAGAGGACAGGCATAAGTAGGCACACATTTAAAGATTTTTTTTGTATCAAGAAATATTCAATTTACTAAAAAAGAATAATGTGATTGAAAATAGAATGATCCAGCACAGATTTTATTTCCAAGTACCTGTACAGTTTTTAGCAATTTCAAATCAGGAGCAAGGCTGACATTCATTAAAAATGCTTATTTCAGTGATAACCCCATTTATAGTTTAATTCATGAACTTGGACCAAGTTTAAATCTTTGAATAACAAAAAAATCCTTTTTAACAGAAAGAAAAGTGGAAAAAATTACATAACCTGTCTTGCTAACTGATTATGCAAGTTCACAGAATATTCTATGGCTGTGATTATGCAAATGATTTTATTAAAATTGGGAATTTGATTTGTAATTGAACCAACACAATTTCAAATACATTTTTCAACTCTCAAAATCACAATTGTACTCAAAGCAGAAATTCTAGCCCCACGTGTTTATATAAGCGAGAAAAAAGATTTGCCAAGGTGAGGACCTTGCATAAGCATAATAAACCTGTCCAGGCTTCAGAAACTTTCGTTCAAAGTTCGTATAACATCTACAGATCACTGCATGCAGAACCAATTTCACTTTCCAACAGCAGATGGATCTAATAATGACATTGCCACATTCACAGCTGGCTGTTTAGGATACTTCAGAGGAAATTTATAAACCTATAACACATTTGGTAACTTGAGACTTGACGTATGATGACATCAAATCGCAGTATGCAACAAAAACTTCAAACAAATGTTTGAAAAATGTCAATCTGTATTTATCACCCAGACATTTTTTCCAAATACACAGCCGTATTACACTAATACTGCAAATGTTTTCTATTCAGTACAAAATTTGGTAATTTGTTTTATTATATTTTCAATATAGCTAACAGGAACAAAATCTAATATCTTAAAACAACATGGCTGTAACAATGACCAGATTGTAGGCTGAACAGCATGGTTTAAAACTAAGTTATTGCCAGTCGAAGATTTCAGATAACAGATCATTGGACAAAAGTCCAAAGCACTGAGGGAAGAATTCATCTTACACAGAGGGTGGATAGTGATTATGAGAGGTGTCCCTAAGTCAGTGCACTGACATCAACTGCTCTTTTGCAACTGATTCTGTTGCTCAGTGAATTAGACCTAGTTCACCAATGAGCTGTTTACACTGCATGTTTCAATTTTGATTGTCAAAAATATTGATAATTTAATCAATTCCATGGATGATTTATCTTTAAAACTAGATAGGCTTTTAACTTTACAAGAATACAATTTAATGGACTGATTTGAATGATGACCCCACATAACATTACATTGATGCAGTGGAAGTATTAAGGCCAATTTTCCACAGCAAAATCTACTCATTTCAGGCATAATTACAATATTAGGTTCAAGGATGGAAGGTGAGCAGGGAAGCTGTTACTGCCACTACATACTTTCCAACAGTTCAGAAGAATGAGGTGAATCTAATAGAAACCTATAAAATTCTAACAGGACTAGATAGGGTAGATGCAGGACGGATGTTCCAAATAGCAGGGGAGTCCAAAACCAGTGGTCACAGTCTAAGGATATGGGGTAAACCATTAAGGACTAAGATGAGGACAAATTTCTTCACCAGGAGAGTGGTGAATCTGTGGAATTCACTACAGAAAGCAGACAAGGCCAAAATATTGTATGATTTCAAGAAGGAGTGAATTGAGCACTTGAGGGTAAAGGGACTAAAGGATATAGGAGAAAAGCAGGAACAGGCTATTGAGTTGGATGATCACCCATGATCACAATGATTGGTGGAGCAGATACGAATGACAGGATGCTATTTTTGATCCTATTTTCCAAGCTTTGATATTTCTAATGTTGGCAGAACTTTATGCTTGAATGACTGTGGATGTTATACTCAACTACCCATGTTTGTACAGAACTGATGACAGAACCTAACGGACTGCCCATCATTTGTGCCTTAGCCATAATGGGCGTTGGGATTTATCGTGCTATCTGGACATCTGATATTGCTATCATGGCTGTGTAGGAGGGGTGGTTTCCAATGTAAAGGGTCACTTTGTTTTGTGGTGAAAAAAAAATCAAAAAAATACTTTGTTCTCTTTACAGTGCAGCCAGCATGTTAAGTATTCCTGGTCAGCTCACTCTCTTCCCCAATGCCAATGCCATTTCTGATGTAGGCAAACCAGGTACAATTCAAACATCACTGGAAGTCCCTTATACAAGTGAATGTGGCCAATGACCAGCAAAGTTGAATAAAAAGCATGCCCTACTACAGATTTTCACCAGATCAGAAAATTCAGCCCATTTTGTTAAACATTTGGGCAATCTGTTGTTGGGCGCTCCATGCAAATACAGCTTTTCAGAAAGACAGCTATTTTCATGAAAAAATGTTACTTGTCAACTATTTTGAGGTCATCATTTGCTGGAATTTTAATTTATACATATCTCTGGAGATACTTTAATCAACTATCAGCTGGAGAAAGGGCTTAGGAGAGCTATAATGGGGCATGAGAAAACCTTGGCAGATAGGATCAAGGAAAACTCGAAGGCTTTTTACACGTATGTGAGGAATAAGAGAATGACCAGAGAAAGGGTAGGGCCGATCAAGGATTGTAAAGGGAATTTGTGCACGGAGCCTAAAGAGATAGGAGAGATCCTTAATGAATACTTTTCTTCGGTATTTACAACTGAGAGGGACCTAGTCGTAGAGGAGGACAGTGTGAAACAGGCTGGTAGGCTAGAGGTGGTTGCTGTTAGTAAGGAAGATGTGATAGGAATTTTGAGGAAGTTGAAAATGGGGCCTGATGGGATTTATCCAAGGATTCTATGGGAAGTGATCGCAGGGCCTTTGGTGATGATCTTTTCATCCTCACTGTCCACAGGTATAGTGCCGGAAGATTGGAGAGGGGCAAACGTCATTCCCTTGTTCAAAAAAAGTGAATAAGGATAACCCCGGAAATTACAGGCCAGTTAGTCTTACGTCAGTGGTGGGCAAATTATTGGAAAGGGCTCTGAGAGATAGGATTTGTGATCACTTGGAAAGGCACAGTTTGATTTGTGATAGTCAGCATGGATTTGTGAGGGGTAGATCACGCCTCACAAACCTTATTGAGTTCTGTGAAGAGGTGACCAAACACGTGGATGAAGGTAGAGCAGTGGATGTGGTATACATGGATTTAAGTAAGGCGTTTGATAAGGTTCCCCATGGTAGGCTCATGCAGAAGGTAAGGAGGTATGGGAAAGGGGGAAATGTGGCAGATTGGGTTCAGAATTTGCTGACCGTTAGAAGATAAAGGATGGTAGTGGACGGAAAATATTCAACAAGGTGCTCAGTTATGAGTGGTGTACCACAAGGATCTGTTCTGGGTCCTCTTCTATTTGTGATTTTTGTAAATGATTTGGATGAAGGAGTGGAAGGGTGCATTAGTAAGTTCACGGACGATATGAAGGTGGGTCGCGCTGTGGACAGTGCGGAGGGCTGTTCTAGGTTACAAAGAGACATTGACAGGATGCAGAGCTGGGCTGAGAAGTGGCAGATGGAGTTTAACCCTGAAAAGTGAGAGGTGATTCATTTTGAAAGGACAAACTTGAAAGCAGAATACAGGGTTAACGGAAAGATTCTTGGCAGTGTGGAGGAGCAGAGGGATCTTGGGGTTCATGTCCACAGTTCCCTGAAAGCTGCCACCTAGGTGGATAGAGTTGTTAAGAAGGTGTATGGTGTGTCAGCTTTCATTAATAGAGGGATGGAGTTCAAGAGCTGTGAAGTTATGCTCCAGCTATACAAAAGCCTGTTTCGGCCACATCTGGAGTATTGTGTCCAGTTCTGGTTGCCTCATTACAGGAAAGATGTGGAAGCGCTGGAAAAGGTGCAGAGGAGATTTACCAGGATGTTTCCTGGAATGGAGGGAAGGTCTTACGAGGAAAGGTTGAGAGAGCTAGGGCTTTTCTCTTTAGAACGACGAAGGATGAGAGGTGACTTGATAGAGGTGTACAAAATGATCAGAGGTATAGATAGAATGGACAGCCAGAGACTTCTTCCTAGGGTGGAGGTAGCTATTACGAGGGGGCATAGTTTTAAAGTGAGTGGAGGTAGATATAGGGGAGACGTCAGAGGTAGGTTCTTTACTCAGAGAGTGGTCGGGGCGTGGAATGCATTGCTGGAGCGGGTAGTGGAGACGGCCTCATTAGCGGCATTTTAGCAGTTATTAGATAGGCGTATGGATGATGGTATAAGGTAGGGGTGGAAGTTAGATAGACCTTAGGATTAGAGTAAAAGTTTGGCACAACATTGTGGGCCGAAGGGCCTGTACTGTGCTGTACTGTTCTATGTTTTATGTCAGATATGTTACAATACACCTCTGGAACAGGTGGAATTTGAACTCAGACTGCTGGCCCAAAGGAAGGATATTACCACTGTTTCACAAGAGCTGTTTTTGCCTTTGTATACTTATCAACTAACAGTAGGAAATTTTAACTCCTTGCACCTGGAGGTAACTGAGCAAAGTGGGAGCTTCAGATCCATATGTACCGATGTTTCTTATGTCACAGCTACTTCAAAAATAATTTTCTCAGCCTCTTT